CCAGGATTTCAGTGTCTTCTTTTGATATAATTTTTATTTTTTTTATTAAAGCATGTATTTGGTATAGTAAATGTACGTATATATATTTAAAAACTATTTTGCAAATGCTTTTTAATCTCTTTATAAGCATTTGTTTTTGTTTATTTATTGTTTTTACATTATTAATATATATCTTTTGGTTATACGAAATTATATAAATGAAACTTTATTTAACTGCTTTTTAAAGGTCCTGGCTTAGCATTTTTAGTTTACCCCTCGGCAGTATTACAATTACCGGGTTCACCTCTGTGGTCATGTTTGTTTTTCTTCATGCTCCTACTTATTGGTTTGGACTCACAATTTTGTACAATGGAAGGATTTATAACTGCTATTATAGATGAGTGGCCACAACTTCTACGCAAACGAAAAGAAATTTTTATTGCTGTAGTATGCGCACTGAGTTATTTAGTTGGTCTGACTTGTATTTCACAGGTAATTATCACCACAGACAAGTTATAACTTGTTTTTGGTGTGATCTTAATGAAATAACAGTTAATTGTTTTTAGAAATATTACATCATTTTTTACATCAAATATTTTTAGGGAGGTATGTACGTTTTTCAAATACTGGACTCATACGCTGTAAGCGGTTTTTGTTTGCTTTGGCTCATATTTTTTGAATGCATTTCAATTTCTTGGTGCTATGGTGTTGAGCGCTTTTATGACGGAATTAAAGACATGATTGGATATTATCCGATGGCATGGTGGAAATTTTGTTGGTGTGTCACAACACCATTAATTTGCTTGGTTTGAATGCTAGATATAAATAAATCTTTAATATTGTTATAAAAAATAAAATATGTTTGTAGGGTGTGTTCTTTTTCAATATCATACAATGGACTCCGATCAAATATTTAGATTATAGTTATCCTTGGTGGGCCCATGCATTTGGTTGGTTTACGGCTCTTTCATCAATGTTATATATTCCAGCATATATGTATTGGCTGTGGAAAAGAACACCCGGAGATACTGTTCTGGTACACAAATTTTAAGAGTTTAAAAGTTTATTTAATTTTGCAATAATTTCCTTTTTACAGAAAATGCGGCTACTTGTTCGAATAGATGAGGATATAACACGTCTTAGGGAAAAAATGCAACAGGATGCTGCTGAATTTCAATCAAAATAAAGTTCTTACGTTGTTCGAAAAGCGCAATTAAAAATAAAAATGGAGTTTACATACAATTCTTCATATTCATAATTTGAACCATATTTAAAATTTAGAAGCGGCTTTTTAATTTAATAAGAAGTGTGTGACATATTAAAAATTATCTGTCTGTTTGTACATTATTTTACGTTTATCATTATTTAAATTAAGTAGCTATGTATACTTTATAAAAAGTTTGTATGATAAGTAACTAAATTATATTAATATAGTTTAATTAAGCATCTTACTGATCGAACATTCTGAGAGTATGTTCTGTGTAAAATTTTTTAATTATTTATGAAATTCTATTTTTAAAATACATATGTTAATTAGTTATCTTTTGTATTTGACTGTCCATCGCTTATGATGAGTTTAAGAAAAGATATGGTGGTGAAAATTTATAATAAATAATATTTACAGAAAAGCTAAGCAATTTGTTTTTAATTACAATGAGAAATAATAAACATGTCCTCATGTTATGTTAGTGGAAGACCATTATACGACTAATATGTGATTCTTGTCTTCTACCATGTAATGCAATCCAGATTGTAGAAGGCATTTTTTTACAAGAGATCCAGTAGAAACAGTTTTTGGATATGTTGTGAAGGTAGTTTCTCTGATAAAAGTTAGTCCCTGCCTAACAGATACCAAAAATATTACAAAGCATTATAATTCTCTAACGGATTATTGGTCATTTAAATAGAAATAAAAAAAACCATAATTTATTATTTATATTTAAAAACAATTAATATTTTATTTAATTATATATTATATTTTCGGATATATCGACTATCGGAAATTAATAAAATTTTTAAACATACACAAAGCTGACAAAGCTGAAAATTCCCAGCTAAAGTGCAGTGGCTTTTCTCTCTCGGTTTCAATTTCTCCCTAACTCTTTCTAAAAAAAAAGCTTTCCACTTAACAAAGACGAGCAAGAACTAGCGAAAACACAACTTGTTGGTATGGTTGAAAGGTATAATAGCCAAATAACACATTCTCCTATAGAGAAATTCATATTACGCACAGTGGAACAATCGCGAACGTATTTGAAACTGAACAAATATGTTTTAATACTTAAATCTGATAAGGGCAACAAAACAGTTGCAATAAATATAGAACATTATGACAAAGAAATAAAGAATATAGTGAATGATATTATGACATATAGAATAATCAGAGAGGATCCAAAGTTAACCTTACAAACAAAAAATATACAATAGTTACAAAACGTTTTATTAATCAAATAACAAAATAGAAAAACAGCAAATCCACCCGGAATATATGGGTTCCTGAAAACACACAAAAAAAATATGCCACTTAAACCTATTTGTTCTTTAATAAACTCGCCATCGTACGGATGGTCATACATTCGGTTTATATCGTTAAAGACGCAACAGATTTCAAAAATAAAGTCAGTATTGTAGTTCCGCGAACAGAAACAGTGACGCACCTTGGCATTTACATTGACAAACACTTAACTTGGCGGAAACATATCGAAACAAAGAGGACTCAAATAAAGCTCAAGGCTATAAGCCTTCGCTGATTAATCGGACATCAATCTCCCGTATGTTTAGAGTATAAAGTCTTGTTATACAATATAGTTATTAAGCCAATCTCGATGTACGGCTTACAGTTATCTGGCAATACTTGTACGTCAAATGTAGAAATCCTGAAAAGACCTCAAGAAAAGATTTTAAAAATGATAACTGCTTCACCCTGGTATGTCAGAAATGAAAACGTACATTACGATTTGGAAGTTCCGATGGTTTGAGTCGAGTTCGAGAAAATAAGGCAGAAACATATTTCAAATCTTGAAAACCATGTGAATTCGCTGGCTAGACCTCTTGCTAATGTGACAAATTTCTCTAGACTGAAACAGAATGATAGATCTGTCATCCTGCTTTCCTAAAGATCATGCTGATAAATTCAACTTAGGCGCCGTGATATCTGATTCAAAAAAGACATATTGTTAAATACAAAATAAAAAATTTTATATGCAAATAGCAGGTTGCATACTTAACATAAATAAGATTTACTTATTGTAACTACTAATAAAATAAAATTAAATTAAATTAAATATATACATATATAAGTAAAATTAAATTGAATTAAAATAAAAAAGTAAAGCACAATTTAAGTTATTTAACTGTTTATTTAGCTGTTTTTATTATTTTGATTTTGAAATTAGCAATTTATTGGCATAGTTGGAAATGATATGGTTTTTAATTTGTTTGTTTGTGTTGTGTTGTCTAATTTTCTGTTATTATAATTAGATTCTTCTAAATTGCTATATTATGAAGATACGCACACAAAGCTAAAAATATATCACATCACCATTTTTTTAGCTTAACAAAAATTCCAATGGACAAATAAGATTTTACAAATTATCATATAAAAAATTCCATATGAACGTGACAAGCCGAACATATACAAGTATATGTTGGTATAATAAAAAACAAATTAAAGACAAGAATTGCTACTCATAAGCATGAGTAGTCATCAAAAGACAGCATTAGCAACCCATTTCTCTATGAAGAAGTATACTTGAAATTTTGAAGAAGTACAGATAATCAATAGAGCCAGACGTTGACTAATGGTTGAAATGCTACATGTACTTGATGATCTGGACCATCAAAAACTAAACTAAAAAAAGACGTAGATCTCACACGAAGGTTAAATATACCTTCAAACCTTACAATATAAACTGATAACTTATTTTTAGCTTCGATTATATTATTTTTGGGAAGTAGAAGCTGCAAAAAGAGGTGCATCGTTTTTAAGGAAATGCAACCATCAATCATTTGTTTGCATTTTTTTGTAAATATGTCCAAAACAGCTTTCTCAAACTGTCAAAATGCCATGAAAAACTTTTATTTAGGGTATGTTCAATGTATTCATTTGCATTTGGAACATATTTAAAACTCATTCTAATCTCGTTGGCACTCATTTATGCAGAACGAGGCCCAATGGATCTCATTTGCACTTGAGATTTTGTATGCAAGAATGAGTTACTTACTTCTCTTTTTTGATTTTTGACCAAAATGAATCATTTGAGGCCAGTGTAAATACCATATAAGCAGCAGTACAATGATATAGAAATTGATTTGGAATACGTGTATAAAATTAAAAAAAAATAGCCACAAGAAGGGATGTTGATATACATCATTTAATTGATTGCATAATAACTAGTATCACAGATGAAGCATTATATAAAACTTTAACAAAGGACTCCAAATGTTGTTTATCAACAAAAATACGAATATTTTACAACGGTAAGCGTACTTTATTCAAATTTCTTCAGAAAGAAATCGAAACGTTTTCTTCAACAAAGCTAAAAAGCTGAAAATATTTGAAATATAATTTTGCATTTCAATTTCAATAAACTCATAGCCTACTGGCGTCGCCACAGTAACCCCTTGTAGCGATGCTGTACCACCAACAACGCGACACAAAGCTGAATCGATACCACACAGCCTTATTCTCGAAATTCCGCTAACCTTGCCTGAAAACGAACTACTCTACCAGCCCGCGTCACTTTCGGAATCGGCGAAAGGGATTCACGCTTGCGATTGTAAGCAGTCACTGACTGATCTGCTTGCGATCGGCCAGTGACACTGGAAACACTGACGCGTTTCTGGAACGACCTACCCAACGTCATCACAAGTCAAGTACGCCGCCTTCAATCTGTCATTCGAAACCGCTACTGCTCTTCCATGGCAAACAATGACCGACGTTTTCTCACTACGTCGGAGCACCACAAATGAACCTGCATATGGCTGCTCAAGTGGAGCTTGCGCACGATCCACTCGAAGAAAGACGTGCTAACAATTGATAACAACGGGCTAACGCCCTTCGCAGCGACGAAATGAAATCAGTCGATTTCTGCTTGAAGTCCGAAAGCATCTGCCCCGGAACACTAAGAGGATTTTCAAACAACATCTCCGAAGGACTAGCATTTAAATCTAGCTTCGGTGTCCTTCGCAATCCCAACAGCACAAGTGGAAGATACTGCGTCTAATTGCTTAAGGAATAATACCGGATGGCCGCTTTCAATGTCCTATGGAAACGCTCGACCAAGTCAAACAATAACGCTTCCCCTGAGACAAACACAATGTCAACATGAACATGCTGGAACCGACTATCAGCAAACGAACCAATTGGTGTTTTAGTACGCCCCTTAGTAATCAACTGGTATTGGCAGGATCCCTATGAAATAATTATATAATGATAAATTTATTTCTTTAATCCTGGATTGCTACAGGAACTTCAAGATAATGAATGTAAAAACGATTTCTGTGATTAACTTGAAAGATATATAAATACGTATTCTTCAAACGAGATATTCTCTTAATGTTAGGAGATTTAAACGCACAGATTGGCTGTGAAAACATCCATTTAGAAAAATATATGTGGTGTCACGGTCTGGGTACCCGAAACGACAATGGAAACAGACTTATCGAAATGTGCTGCAAGGCTAATCTGGTAATCGGTGGCTCCCTTTTCCCACATAAATATCACACAAAGCAGGCGGGAGGCGGGAGAATTAATGGTCGATGGAGGTCATCGAACTGCAAATTCGAAGCATGTATAAACAACTCTGCACATCAATAAAGAAATCGGTAAAACATGATAAAAGAGAACGGACAGAAAATCAAGCACGGATTGCTGAGTCTGTATATAACTTGGGTAACATGAAGGATCTTTACAAGGTAACAAGAGTGCGTTCCGGCAAAGGTCACTACAAGAACAAACCTATTAAAGATAAGAACGGTAAATTTATCTCCAACTCAGAGTTGCAGCTCAAGAGATGGGCTGAACACTTTAATAAGGTGCTCAACAACTCCTTAGGATTACAAGAAGATATAGAACTTAACTCTCCATCAAGCAACTTGCGTTACTGTCAAAAGTCAATTCGGACCAACCAACAAGATCTGAAGTTATTGCCGCCATAAAATTATTTAAACCAACAAGGTACCCGGCAGTGACAACGTCAATTCCGAACTATTAAAGTGCGATCCTGAATTATTAGCATCTATATGGCCCCTTATTCCACAGAAAATCTGGGAAAACTAAGCGGTACCACTTTCTTGGAATGAAGGTGTGGTCGTTAAGATTTCGAAAAACGGTTATGGATCCGATTGTAAAAATTACCAAGGTATCACGCTTCTACCCGTGTGCAGCAAAAAACTCACTTCGATTTTACTATCACGAATTTCGACGGTTACAGAAGGACTTCTCCGCGAGAATCGATATGGCTTTAGACGAAATCGATCTTTTGTCGACCAAATCAATACTGTTCGAATCGTGTTTGAACAATGCAACGAACTTGGATGTTCCGTTTATGCAGCATTCATAGACTGTAAAAAGCCTTTGATAGTCTAAACAGGCTTTTCATTTAGGCTGCTTAACGTCAAAAGAGCATGCCACCAAAAATACTCAACATCGTTGTAGTGTGAAATTATTATTTATGCAAAATATATAAAACTACTAAAACTTTTAGTTTCAATTCATCAATGTTTTTATTTACTTCACAAACATAAAACAATTACTTTCTTATATTAATTATTATTTATTGAAGCATCTACTCAGTATGCTTGTTTAAGATTGAATGAATACTTATGCTCCGCTTCATAAGCTTAGAGCTAAACTTAACATACAATAATAGCTTACGCTAGCACTTATTATGTATCTAAGGGAATGGTAAAGCATGCATACATACATAAAATCTTATCGCACATAGCGTGGTTTTAAATAACATGAAAGCATTGCTGCTTCATGTGTGCTTAAGCAACAGGAATGTGCTGGCCAGGCATAATTCATGTAGCTGTGCGTTACAAAGTAAATTATATAGTCTTTTTAGACTATTTAGCAACAAAGTATATTTATTGAAGTTGCTTTATTTATGTAAATGTATGCATACTACATCGTCCAAAGTCCATGTACATTGAAATTTAAATGCAACAGTTTTTTGACGGAATGTTGTCTGATGCGTTTGACGTGAATAACAGGAGTTTGTCAAGGTTGCCTCCTTTCATCCAGTATTTCATTCTAACTCTGGACAGTTGATGTCCAATCTGCAAGAAAGCCAAATATTTGGGCATGCTACTTAAGCCCAAAAAGCTGACTTGGAAGGGGCACATATTCAGAAGAAGAGGAAGCTATCGCAAGATTTGCAGATTGTATATTGTCCAATTTGGACATAATAATGATCAGCCTAAATCTTGTATTTTAAATAATATATTTTAAATTATATATTTCATATTAATAATATTCTATTATTTTTGTTTTGTTGTCAAAGCAAATTTTTATTCTCATAATGTTAATGACTTGATGTCTTAGCCTTGAACGGTGGGTTAAGATATCAAAATTTATCATAACAACAACAACAGTTGTATATCACACGAGCACACTTTGCTCGTCATATGAAACTGCAGATAAGCCATGCATTTAGCATGTGCAATTCTTTAATATAGAACATTATGAGAAATTAAAATTTGCTTGTGCAAGGTCAGTATTGTACTTATTAAATAATAATTATGTTTGTAAAGCAAGCTGGTATATGGACTTAGTTCAAGGTTAAAAGAAAATAAGTTTATAAGCATATACCAGGTTGCTAAGGAAATTACGCAAGTAATATTCTTTTTTGTCAATGCATACAATTTCCATGAGAACTGTGACCGTTCCCACAACTATGCTGAGCGATACCTAATCGCTACTTTAATGCAGCTTAAGTTATAGCGCATTATCGTGGGAATTGTATGCATTAACACCTTGCCAAATGTGTATAAAAACTCAACATTTTTCTAATAAATTTATCATTCAATACAGAACAGCCCTTGCGTTTTAATTAGTTCAAGTGCTTATTAAAACTCAATTGCAAATAGGTTCAAGTGCCTAGTTGCTCAAAAAATATTGTTATTGTTTGAATCCACCTGAAGTTGGTTTAAGTGCCAAATTCAGACCTTGCAATAGGAACTGGTTCAAGTGCCAGATTCCTAATCATAAGCAACACTGAATCGATTCAAGTGTCGATTCAGTTTCAATAAGAAACGACTTATTGAACATTTTTGGTGACCCCGACGTGATTCACCGTAAGGATCACGTTTTCATCAATCCAGTGAACCTGCTCTGAAGAACCACGTTATCATCAATCCAGTGAATCTGCTCAGAAGGGTATTATTGCTGTATTTACAACCATGGAAGTCATGGCAGAATTGATTGCCAAACAATCAGAATTGGGAAAACAAATCCAACAACTGATCACTAACTTCAAAAAGGACTCAAAAGAGAGGAAGACATCCCCTCGCTACTATGAAGAGCGTATTAGGCGACTCAACGAATTATGGGAACAATTTGATCATAACGACACACAAATCAGGAATTTGCCAGATTTGGATACGAGCGTTTCATATTTTACCAACAACTACTTTCAGGAAATCAAGGGATTATTTGAAAAATATGAGCAGATTTTCGAAAATGAATTGTCAACCAAAATACCCCCAACACCTTCCTCAAAGGAGTCAGCAACGACAGCACGTCAACCGATGCCGTCACCGAGGGAAGGACAATATAGCACAAGTATAACAAGAATGATACACAAGCAAGGTGCAATTTGTGTATCACTGAAGCGACTCATAGCAGGCATCAATCGTCAAACAGGCGTTCAGATGAAATCCTTTTATGAAGTGAATATGGGAAGAATTGAGAAGCTATGGAATGAGATTGAATCCATTAATTTTGAGATTTGGGAGTACACCAACAATCCGACTACAGTGGGATATAAACTCGATGAGTATCTCGAAATAGAAGAATTGGTTCAGTCAACTTTAATTTCGTTAGCTTCAAAGAAAGCAAATGATGAACAATCACAACAAGGAAGCAGTAAACCAGACAGCGCTGGTGTATCACTGCCTAAGGTAACAATACCAAAATTCGATGGCGATTACTTGAAGTGGTGTCAATTCTATGATTTGTTCACCGAAATGATTCACAAGCAGCAGCTTTCTAACGCTCAGAAAATGTGGTATCTCAAAGGTAGTTTAACAGGAGAAGCAGAAGGTTTAGTCCGACACCTGTCAATAACCAACGAGAATTATCAAACGGCATGGAATTTGCTACAAGAACGATATCACAACAAAAGAATTATTGTAGCAACAATCATTCAAAGAATTCTAAATCAACCAATAATATCAACTAATCCTTCAGCGACAGAAATAAGGACACTCCATGATGTTACTTTCGAAGGATTGCTGGCACTGAAGAATGTGGGACTCGAAACTGATTCATGGTCCCCGCTACTGCTTCATAGTTTGCTCCTCAAACTAGATAAGCAGACTCGCATTTTGTATGAACAGTCGCTGAATCATCCAAGAGAGGTTCAGTCGATTAAGGAGTTCATGATCTTCCTGGAATCACGATTCCAGTCCTTAGAGGCGATTGGCCATAGGGAGAAGCCATGCTTAGCAAAAACCCTTGCCACAACTATGGGAAAGGCAAATATATCAACCTGTAAGATCTGTAATAATGGATCACATCCGATATATTATTGCAAAACATTCTTGCAATCAACACCACAAGGTCGTATCAAGACGGTACAAAAACTTAGACTGTGCTTGAACTGCTTACGTACAGGCCATAGGGCAGCAGAATGCAAAAGTTCCCGGTGCAACAAGTGCAGCAAGAACCACAATTCGTTGTTGCACTTATCAGAGTCTTCCAAGACAACACACAAATCGATCAATGTCAAATCAGATTCATTGGTTGAGAAACCCGGTCATCAACCTTCTACTGTAATCACAGCATTAACACAAAATAAGGGATACGTTCTTCTTAGTACAGTTAATATGAAAATAGCTACGTTTGATGGTGATTTCATTGAGTGCAGAGCAATACTCGATTCTGGATCACAAATAAACTTAATCACAGAAAAACTGGCAAGAAAATTAAAATTGCAGTTACACTCATCACCGTTATGGATAGAAGGAATTGGTAGAAGCAAAAGGGACACAAAATACAGTGTGACAACAAAAATTCAGTCTCGAATTAATGATTTCAATGTAAATATCAACGCATTCGTGATGCCTCGAATTATCTCAGCCCAACCAACACAGTGTCTGGACACTTCTGGTTGGTCAATTCCTCAGAATATAAAATTGGCTGATCCAGACTTCGCGAATCCAAATCAAATTGACTTATTAATTGGAGCAGAATTCTATCACAGCTTTTTATCGATTGGTCAAATCAAAATAGGTGAGGGTCTACCTGTACTTCAGAACACGGTTTTCGGATGGATATGCAGTGGCAAAGTTAGCAACGGTAATCAAAAATTACTTACCTGTGGCATGTGCAGCGAAGCTGACGACGAACCATTGGATAATATACTTACTAAATTCTGGCAATTGGAGGAAATCAATCAAACGGATGACAAATTCACTGATGCAGAAAAGAAATGTGAAGAATCTTTTGCTCAAAATACTCACCACAATCATGAAGGGCGATTTGTCGTGAAACTACCATTTAAGGAGGATACAACTGTTCTTGGTGAATCCATGCAGATGTCGATGAATCGATTTTTTAGTCTTGAACGTCGGCTGTTGAAGAATTCTGAACTAAAGAAGATGTACGTTGACTTCATGCGAGAGTATGAACATCTCGGCCACATGGAAAAAATCAATCAGGATGATATAATGCATCCACATTACATTTTGCCACATCATTGTGTAATCAAGGCAGATAGTACTACAACAAAGCTTCGAGTGGTGTTTGATGCATCTGCAAGAATATCAACCGGAGTCTCACTCAATGACATCATGCATAATGGTCCAGTCGTGCAAAACGAACTCTCATCCATTTTACTGCGTTTCAGGAAACCACGCTTCGTTTTTACAACAGATATTGAAAAGATGTATCGGCAGATACTAATTGATCCACGAGATGAATATCTTCAAATCATTATCTGGCGAGAGTCACCAGAAGAAAACTTGTGCTATTACAAATTAAAAACGGTAACGTATGGCACAAGAGCAGCGCCGTATCTGGCAACTAAGTGTCTACAAACCCTGGCCAGAGAGCATGCCGTTAAATTTCCGCTTGGTTCCGCTACACTCAGCAAGGATTTTTATGTCGATGACGGTTTAAGTGGCTCAGACAGTCTCATGGAGGCAATTGCAACAAAGGATCAACTTATTAAAATATTGGCGACAGCTGGTTTCAAATCTCGCAAGTGGTGCGCAAATAATTCCCAATTACTTCAAGGACTCGCTCCAGAAGATCAAGAAGTGGATCTCGATGTCAGCAGTGAGTCACATAAGACAGTAAAAACTTTAGGCCTTATCTGGCTACCAAAATCTGATCAATTTTCAATAAAAACTAACGGACCTACACACAGCAAAATAACAAAGAGGACCGTAAGTTCTGAGTTGGCGCACATTTTCGATCCACTTGGATTAATGGCTCCCGTAGTAGTGAAGGCGAAAATATTTGTTCAAAAATTGTGGCAGTTAAAACTTTCGTGGGATGAAGCTCTGCCTGCTGAAATGCATACTCAATGGACCCATTTTCGTCAGAGCTTATGTGAAATAAACAATGTAAAGATTCCACGACATATATTTCATCATAAACAACCAAGGAATACTCAGATTCATGTATTTACTGATGCCTCCGAAAGGGCCTATGGAGCTGCCATTTACATCAGAGCCGAAATGACTGATCGAACTATCTCAGTTCAGTTACTTTGTTCAAAATCACGCGTCGCTCCATTAAAAACGCAGACAATATCAAGACTTGAGTTATGTGCGGCTTTACTAGGAGCACAATTGGTAGTAAAGGTAAAAAAGGATTTGGAATATGAACATCATCCGATATTTATGTGGACTGATTCTGAGATAACATTGCATTGGATCAATTCAGAACCATCAACATTCCAAACTTTCGTTGCTCATCGTATCAGTAAGATTCAGCAATTAACACTAAAGGAACAGTGGAGGCATGTCAATACTAAACAAAATCCAGCTGATCTATTATCCAGAGGTGTAGATCCAATTTACATTCAGAAGAATGCAATGTGGTTTTATGGGCCACTTTTCCTTCATGGAAATCAAGAATGCTGGCCCCAACCATTCCGTCAGGAATTGATAACATCCGACCATATACAAGCGGAAGTCAAAAGGAAGGTACATGTGCTTACAATTTCACATGATGATGAACTAATCAAAATGATTTATACGATAAGGCATGGAAACTCATTCATAAGGTTGCAACGAATTCTTGGCTATGTGTTGAGATTCATCAAAGGGTTACGTAATAAGAGCAAGCACAACGACATCAATTTGACACCATTAGAACTGGATGAGTCATTACTCATAATTATAAAAGCCATACAGCTAAGTGATTTCAATGAAGAACGACATCAACTCTTAAAGAAAAGGGATCTAAAGGGAAGCAGTAGTCTCCACGGACTTTCTCCATTTATCGACGATAGTGGCGTCATCAGGGTTGGAGGTCGATTGACGTCGTCACATCTTAAAGATGCCTTCAAACTAGTTATTTCATCATTAGCTGTCTCCATGCTGATGTTTTTCAACTTTAGAGATGATTGCCGAGGAATCGCTGTCCCTATTGGGCTTGAATGGAAGCTTGTGTGGGAATATTTTAAGCGAGTAGTCATTGTGTAATGGCTGGTTATTGTTGCCGTATGATGTGAGAGTATGCACCCTGGTGGGAGCTCAAGTAAACCTGTATTTTGCAATTTCACCTGAGAATGCTCATTGTCACATACTGCGTTTAGCTTTACAGGGTTTCTTGCGACGAACATCCATTGATTTTGTGCAACAGCCTGGATCCATAAGGTATTACTTGTGAAACTTTGCCAAGTGCAAGATGATGTACTATTATTAAATAGATTTACTTCGCAAGTGCACTTGCCTGATTCAAGAGAATATATTTCTTGTGTATCTGAACAGATGAAGACATCATTTTTGAAGACACACATTGTGACAACTGTATTTCTGAAATCGGAAAGTATCCATTCCTATGAGTATTGAATGCCATCATAGACGTGCATGGTGTGATTGTCACATATTCTCCGTTTATGATCCCTGGAACGGGAATAACAACAAATAAATCAAAGGACTGATCATTGATTAGTGGTAGAGTTATTTGAAACAACATTTTAGTATCAAATAAACCGCTGCTGACTGTCATAAGAGAATATAGCTCAGAAATGTTGCTCATGTTAACCGGCAATTGCATTGTTGACCTGAGATGTTCCCTCATTGTAGTAACCTCATTCATGAGTTGCTTTGGCGTCAGGAGAAGTGGGCTGATTTTTCCATGATTTGTGTCGGTCAACACTCCTAAAATTGCTGATTCGTAAAATTGAATACTTGTTGTTACACTTAGTAGTTGAGTTGAAATTGCAGTGAAAAGTTGGTGGAGTTTTAAATTATAAATTTCCTTGTCCTCTTCTAACATTTTTGCCTTTACATCGTTCAATCGCTCGACTGTTAATTCAAAGGTTGTTTGATACTGCTGCTGATTTCGTTTCATGATATTTAGAGTAGAATCTAAAATTGAAGTTTGGTTTTTTAGAAGGTTAAGCAAATGTTTGTCGTCATTTTTTAGTTGTTGAATCGTCTGCGCCATATTTTTAGCGTATTCTGAGTCCAAAACGCCGAATACTGCATTCGCAATGTTCCCCACTAAATCGATTGCGCCTCTCTTCTTTCTTTTGTTGATCTGCATTATGTTTGCATATAACAATTCATTTCTCGCTGCCTTGAACTGTTCAACTAACGTCCAGCAGTGATTATATCCATTCATCAACTTACACACGTTCGCTAAGGATTCGGTTCCATTTTCAATAAATTCAAACTCCTGTTGCAATGGACTTAAGTTATAATATGCTATGATTTTCCATTCTGCTTGTGATCTTTTGATGACTCCTTTGTGTTCGAAATGAATGCCTGGTGTGTTATTAAATGATTTTATCGTGATACCTAACCCTGATATCAGTGGTATCCATAATAGTACCAGCAATGCAATGGCTAGCAAGTTGATGTTGAGTTTTGCTCGTTTTTTAGGCTTTTCTTCATCACATCTATCAAGTTGCATCATGGGGGTTGAACAATCTTCCGACAATAATGGTGCTAGCCGATGTATTGGACGCTTCCAAATCCCGTTTTTCGTTTTGACATCTACAACTCTGATTCTTCCATCATTACCGGAATAGCATTTGATGATTCTGCCCAGAGGCCATTGAAGCGGAGGAGCGTTGTCTTCTTGAATGATTACCAGCATTCCTTCTTTGACGTCAGGTGATTGGTCCTTCCATTTAGTGCGACACTGTAGCTCATTAAGATACTCCTTTGACCATCTTGACCAGAACTCGTTTTTTAGATGATTCACCAGCTTCCACCTGGTTAAAAGCGATTGTTTGGTTGTAGTTTCTGACCTACTTGGAAGGGCTGTTAGCGGTTCTCCTATTAAGAAGTGTCCTGGTGTGAGGGCAGCCGGGTCATTTGGGTCTGATGACAACGGTGTTATTGGTCTGGAGTTTAGCATACTTTCAATTTGGGTTACCACTGTTTCCAATTCCTCGTAAGTGAGTGACACGTTGCCAATAGTTCGCACCAATAGATATTTAGCTGATTTGACAGCAGCTTCCCATAATCCTCCGAAATGTGGTGCTCTCGGAGGTATAAAATGAAAAACAATTCCTTGAGCTGAACAGGATCTTATTATGTTGTTTTGAGCATTTGTGCTGTGAATGCTTTCAGCTAACTCGTTCATTTGATTTTTAGCGCCCACAAAATTAGTCGCGTTGTCACAATATAAGTTCTGACATCGACCTCTTCTTGACGTAAACCGGTTCAAAGCGCCTAAGAATGCATCTGTGGTGAGATCACTAACAACTTCCAAATGTACTGCCTTCGTGGAGAAGCAGCAAAACACTGCGATGTACGCTTTGCATGGTCTTTTGCCTCTAATTTTGTGGTGTATCCATATGGGACCACAGAAGTCTACACCTGCGTTGAAAAAAGGTCTTTGAGCTTGGACTCTGTCAGCTGGTAGATTGCCCATGATTTGTTTGAACATGTGTGGGCGTACTCGAGTGCATTGTACACAATGTTGCACCATGGATCGAGCCATAATCTTGCCTTTTATTGGCCAAAATCGCTGCCTGCACTGGGCTAATAATGTTTGCGGTCCGCAGTGAAGTCCCTTCTCATGTAAATGTTTTATTATGAGCTTAGCTATTGGATCGTTATATGGCAGCAGCATGGGGTGTTTGGCATCGTAGGTAAGATGTGATGACGTCAATCGACCTCCAACCCTGATGACGCCACTATCGTCGATAAATGGAGAAAGTCCGTGGAGACTACTGCTTCCCTTTAGATCCCTTTTCTTTAAGAGTTGATGTCGTTCTTCATTGAAATCACTTAGCTGTATGGCTTTTATAATTATGAGTAATGACTCATCCAGTTCTAATGGTGTCAAATTGATGTCGTTGTGCTTGCTCTTATTACGTAACCCTTTGATGAATCTCAACACATAGCCAAGAATTCGTTGCAACCTTATGAATGAGTTTCCATGCCTTATCGTATAAATCATTTTGATTAGTTCATCATCATGTGAAATTGTAAGCACATGTACCTTCCTTTTGACTTCCGCTTGTATATGGTCGGATGTTATCAATTCCTGACGGAATGGTTGGGGCCAGCATTCTTGATTTCCATGAAGGAAAAGTGGCCCATAAAACCACATTGCATTCTTCTGAATGTAAATTGGATCTACACCTCTGGATAATAAATCAGCTGGGTTTTGTTTAGTATTGACATGCCTCCACTGTTCCTTTAGTGTTAATTGCCGAATCTTACTGATACGATGAGCAACGAAAGTTTGGAATGTTGATGGTTCTGAATTGATCCAATGCAATGTTATCTCAGAATCAGTCAACATATATATCGGATGATGTTCATATTCCAAATCCTTTCTTACCTTTACTACCAATTGTGCTCCTAGTAAAGCCGCACATAACTCAAATCTTGGTATTGTCTGCGTTTTTAGTGGAGCGACGCGTGATTTTGAACAAAGTAACTGAACTGAGATAGTTCGATCAGTCATTTCGGCTCTGATGTAAATGGCAGCTCCATAGGCCCTTTCGGAGGCATCAGTAAATACATGAATCTGAGTATTCCTTGGTTGTTTATGATGAAATATATGTCGTGGAATCTTCACATTGTTTATTTCACATAAGCTCTGACGAAAATGGGTCCA